CATTAATTTGTATTTAAAATAAAGTAAACTACAAAACATATAAAAATAGAGTTACCTTTTTTTGTAGAGTCGAAATATTTCTTTTGTATTTTCTGTTCATTCACAGAAGAGACAACTGTATTTGTTTTTAAAATTGGTGAAAACTTAGAAGTTAATTTTCTTCTCTTTGAAGGTGTATCTTCATCCAAAGTTGTAACGATTTGCTCTTCAATAAACTCTGATGGCTGTGTATCTATGTTCTGTAATGACCATTTAGTACCAGATTTTACAAGTATATTATTTGAAACTGGAATTACATTTTTATCTGTTGTAAGATTCACTTTAGCAACGCCAGTGGTAATCTTCATATTTCTTTTTGAAAATTTGAAACAGGTTTTGCTTTCTGGTATATATGATTTCTCAGATACACATGAAATATTTGAATCTTCTGAGATGTTATCTTCCATGGTGTGTTGGACATTCTCTAATTTAGTATCTTCCTTGACGATTATATCCCTTATAGAATCTTCGCGAAAATTTAGTAACATTTGTTGTTTTTGTTGAGATATATTTCTTAATTGTTGAATACCTACACATTTCAATTGCTTGTGTATATTTTTAGATGTGCACATAGTCTGAAGTGATTTTTGACGATATGAGACGTGAAATGTTGACAATGGCGATTCACATGTATCTTGTACATCTTGATAATTCAAAGGATTAATAACAGTAATCTGTGAGCACCTTAAACTCAGTTCATTCTGGTTAGGTTGAGCAACAGATGAAGGTAACTTTTCTTTTTCATTTTTCATTTTAATTTTCTTTTTACATCTTAATGTCCGTTTGCATGATCTAGACTGCGCATTAATTTTTATTTTATGTTGTGTAATATGATTTTGCTTTTCTTTACAACTGTGTTGTATATTTTTTTGTTTTAAAAAATTGCCCTGTTTCTGTTCAACACATTGTAATGTTGTATCAGTTGTGAAATCTGTGGAAGACAATAAGTCACAAGAATCTAAAGATTGTTTTATTACCAAAGGATTAGTTTCAAGTTCAACACGTGTATGTTTATGTGATGATTGAATATCATCCTGTTGGCTTAATGTACAATTCATTGATACATTTGATTGAATGTCAGTGGAAGTACAAATTTCAGGTAAATCTCGGTTTGCTGTATCATTAAATGATTGGATTTGATTAATAATATCCTTTTTGTGAAAAATATAGGATTTTCCTATAACACTATTAGTATCAAACTTATCAGTAGGACTAGAAAGACTGCATTTAGGAAACGATTCTTTTGCTTCAGAAGATATGTTATCTGAATTGACTAAAACAGTTGGCTGACCAGAGAACGAAGATATACTTTTAACTAGTGAAGGAAATTCAAGTACTTTCTTTTTACTTGTATTTAATCCAAATCCGACTACATCCACGCTGCTATCAATGGAATGATTTTGATTATTACACAATTCCTTTTCTTTTTGTGGAAATAATTTTTCTAAATTATTCCTTTCATTAGCAAATGTTTTTTCTGTAGAATGTAATTCAGAAGTATCATAATTTTTTTTTGAAAAAATTTCGTTTTCGAAAGTCTTTTTAATTAACCGTGGATTAACTGCTTGTATATTTGAGTACATAAAATCATTTGAAGGGGAATCCATATTTGTTAAATCAAAATCAAATAAAGAATTTAATATTCCAGTTGTTCCTAGGCTACCTTCTGGTAATGGTGTTTGAGAATTTTTTGTATCTGACACAATATATTTTTTCTCCGTTTCATTTGTACATGAATGTTCAGATTGTGAAAAAAATTCTGTGATGCAATTTAACACATTATTTGAATTATCATAATTAATTGGTGACATCAACGGAGATTGTGAATTTTCCCAAAGTTCTTGTTCGTCCTCAATAGTTATGTCCCCATTAAGAATGCTATCTAAAATATCAATATTTTCAAATTCGTCCATAGAATTTATTTTTGTCACATTACTTTTTTGTGAAAAATTTTGTAGCACAGATTCACAATGTATATCTCGATTCGATTCTTTGGTATCTTTTAAATCATGTATAAAAGTGTCAAATGTCTGATTATTTGTTAGTGTATTCATTTTATGATTTGTTTTCTGTGTCTCATCCCTTAGAACTTCAAAATTTTCATTACTTGCTTTCTGAATGGATTGTTCAATTTCGGATTTTATATGATTGAAAACAAAATTTGGCGGTGATTTGTTTTCAGAAAAAATATTATCTTTTTCATAAGAACGGTTTTCTTTTGGTTGAGATGTTGATATCGTTACTTTTTGGCAATTCTCAGATTCACTTTTCAATTGATTTAGCACTGCATTAGTTTCTTGATTATCCCATCTATGAAAATCATGACAGTTGCATACATTTAATAAATCTTTCTTTCCATATAATTCTAAAATTCTGCTGAGTTTTTCTGTATTTGTCAATGAATTAATATTTTGTAACCAATCTGATGACGATTCGACACACTGATCTCCTAAAACTGTAGTGGAAACAGTGCATAAGTCCATCTTATCTAAACATTTTAATCGTTGTTTTTCTGCATGAACGGTCATAATGTGTTCGCCAATGCGATTTAAAACGTCCATACATTTATCAAGATCACTCAGCATACATATTATATTTTTGTCACAAATAGGTTTTTTATCTGTGGCGTTAGTATCTATTGTATTTTTCGGTATATCTTCGGTTTTTATTGTATTAAATATACTATTATTATGATAGGAAAAGGGTTTTATTTCAATTTTTTTACAACAGTCTGCGCATTCGTGAATATTATGAGCAACTCTTTGTTTCACAGTTTCTGTTGTTTGTGAACTGAGACTGTTCATAGAACTAAAGTCATGTAAATGATAATTACTTTGTACATAAACAGATTCATTTTGGCAATAAGTATTTGCTTCTGTCATATTACAATTTTTATTTGTTGGTAACTCCTGTTTTATAGATTGCACATTTGTAATACTATTTTGGCACTCTTTTAACGAAAGTATTGCCTCTATGCAACTTTTTGGCTGAGGAAACGATTCTTCTTTACCCTGAGTATTAATTTCATTAGATTCATTGTCTGTATTTTTACAAAAAAAAGTATTTGTAGAAGACATTATATTTTCGTCCCCCTTTTCTCTAAGCAGATTTAGTATGGTTTTTGGTTCGTTAATATTTTGTCCCACAGTACTTAAAAGTTTCAATAAATATAAAACTCTATTGCGATGTATATCAGTTTGTTTTAGCGATGAAGTACACGTATCACACTGTTTATGTTGAAACATATATTTTAATTCTTTATTTCTTTTATTCAAAATATGATCATGCATGTTTTGTGAATTATAATGAGTATTATCTTGGACTGGTTTCTGTTCCAACAAAGTATAGCTTTCTATACTTTCACTAACTTTATTGTCCGAAATTGGTAAATATTCTAAGAGAATTTTATCTGCAAAATTTTCAGAGTTCTCTGTACTGTGAGCATCTGCAATTTCCACATGATTTCTGTTTTTTACATCAACAGTTTGTCTTCGTGTATTATACTTTTTTTTCATAATTTTTAACCATTCTAATTTCTTTTTGCTTTTGCTTTTCTTTTTTGTTTTATCTATTCTTAATTCCTCTTCTTCAGTTAAATCAATCAAAATTACTTCTCCAGGTTTTAATTTTGATACTTTTTTATGCTTTTTAAACTTATTTCTTTTACTCAATGGAAACACTTGATTAGTAAGTGTATTGCATTTCACTTCCGTTTGAAAAGAATGGTTATCTTTTAAATTATTCATTTCACTTTTCTTTAATTCATGGTTTGTGAAACATCCTTGCATATTACACAATACATTCTAGAAGTATAACCAATTAAAAGATAAGGATCGAAATATATTAATAAGCAGTATGTTAAACATTATGATAAAGAGAATTACAAGAATATAGTCATGAAAAATTTACCTGTGACAATTGGAAGTTTAAATCAGAAACTTTAAGTGTAACAGACATTGTCTCTTCAAATGCAATAAAATTATTACATGCAGTTCTTAAATCAAATACATTTTGTTGTAGTAACCAAATGGTTTCATTTTCATGTTCTATTGGAGATTTAGGTATAATTTCTAATAATTCATCACGCATTTTTGGAATACGTGGACCTAATATTGTTAGGGCCATTTTATTCACTTCCTTTTTCTCTTCAACATTTTCCTTTATTTTTTTCCATACTTTTAAAACAAGTAAATATCTGACATAATCTATGTCTGTTACTGCTTCCACATTTTGTTTTAAACGGGTGAAGCTTCTCCTAATATAAAAAAATAGTTCATGTAAAATACTACATTATGTGAAAAAGTTTTAGTTGTATACTTGTCTTTTTGAACTAACAAGTGAAGAATATTAAATATTTACATACATAAATATAGGATCACAAATTTTTGAATATTTTTTTGTAACAAGCTTAAGTTTGAGCAGCACTCTGAAGATATGCTTTTCTGAATTACCTAAAATAAAATGAAATATTACATTACTATCCACATTTCAAATTACAAAAACCATGTATTAATTTAATTTCATCTTTTATTATGTACTATACTTATTGTCCACTTACTTAAGTATATCCATAATGCTGAAAGTAGTTTTGAAGCTATTTTAGAAGCATCCATAGCGTGCTTGAAAGTTTTGAGTTCCATATCTATATATATACCCAATAGCACGGACATTTTATTTAAATACAAAGTACAGTCATCAACATGCTATTAAAAAGATTCATCAGTAAATGTTTAATATATTATTAGTTTTATTACAATCATAACTAATCATTTTTTACAATACCTCTTTAATATCGTGCCAATAAAGATGAAAAAATGTCAGTGTACTACTTAAATGATTTTTTAATTTGATCATATCTAATGTTTTTTCACAATATGTATTTATATTAGTTAAAATATTTCTGAAATATGTAATATCAATTAATTAGTTGTTAGCCACATGTTATAATATAATTATATATCTTAGTGTAACATTCTTCGTTTTGATATCTCTAAATTTCAAAAGTAATGATCTTACTGTGTATAAAGTGAAAGTAAACGTTTTAACACTTGGTAACTTCTGTGTCCCACAGATGAACACATTATTTTATTAAATTTAGTTAGCCATGGAAATATATTTTCATATGACTTAACATCATTGGAATGATTATCCACATGTTCTTCATTTTCATATTTTTTTGGTAAATTGATAGAGCCATTGTGTATCCATATCAAATCTACTTCATCTCTTTCATCAATTATTATTTCTTTTTTATAAAATCGTGCTATAAATGTATGAAAAATACCATTATATATAATTGTCTGATATTTATAATTATACAAGAGGTATAAAACATGAAGTTTAAATATTAGGTCTAAATGCACAATAAAGAGAATACTTTTAAAACATAAAAGTATAATATTTTTAAATTAATCAGTGCTAAATATTGTTAATTGCTAATGTACTCATTTTCTATACCTCTTATAATATGTTAGAATGATAATATTTATTACTTGGAGAGTTATTATTTAGTAAATTATCATTTGTAGTAAAAGAACTGCTTATATCCATGTCCTGTGTAGGATGAGCCATAATTGTCATTAAAAATGAACCTATTAAACCTAGAAACAAATAAGTTCATATATAACATTGTCATTTAAGAACTGATTTCTCAATTTTGACAAAACATTGAATGTATTGTTGCTTTATTTTTGCCCTGAATAAAAAAATAAGTGATTGTTGACAGATTACTATATGACATGTTTACAACTTTTGTCAATCTAAATTCACTTTCATATGAGTTATATTAAAAAACTCAACATATTAATATACACAACAAATACAGGGCTAAAGTATGTTACCTACTTTTTTCAGTATAGATCAAGCTTGCGCTCTACTGATCAGACAAAGAAAACAAAATCAAACTACCGAAGTAATACACGTGTCGACATAATATTTAATACATTTCTTGCATTATTAAGATCATGGGTATAACCGCGTGTTAGCACTTAAGGACACATCATGCAGAGAATCTAAAAGCATAACAGTCAACAACAAAAGAGCGCAAGTTTTCCACAACGTGAATTTGTTTTTAGAAGCGTGTCAGAGAACATAGAGACTAAACGCCCCACTTTCTTGATTCGCTATTATATTGTGTACTACTACATACCCGCAATAAAGTGAAATTAAACGGGGACGGTCATCACTCTTGTTTCGTCGCGAATTAGCGGTTTCATCGCTTCGGTTTTTCGCGTTCACAACAGCACAATCACATGCAACGATAATTTTATTGCGACCTGCGCCGCCTGCTGTCGATGCATATGAAACTTGCGTGCGATAGTCCTTTGAAAATCGAGTGAAACGCGACGCCAGGCGTCGATGTTAATTTAACGTCGCCGTGAGTATAGCACTAACAGCTTCAATACGGAAGTTGTGGATACAGGTACGGCTGCATCCTTCGAGGAACCCTCGTACATCATCAAAAATAATAAATTTCACACGCTGATAGCGTTTAGATTTAATTACATGATGTATTTCATCCAATATTTATAAATCTTTTTTTCTCCACTTATTAATATAGATTCAACTTTTCGAGACTACAATTATGTAATTGATTGTCATCGTGAAAATTGAAATGATAGGTTTTACGTTTGAATTTTTTTACATTAACACAACAATAAACATTTCTTTAAAAAGAAAACTATTGTTCTATGTGCATATTATTAAACAAATAAATAAAATGACATGGTTACGTTATTTTATGTAAACAAATAAATGTTATCATTCTCATTGCAATACTATACAGATATTTTATAAATTAATCCTTCTGCAAACATTAAGATCTTATTCTAATTAAAATTCGACAGAAAGTTAATATTTTTTCGTGTAACATAAACGTCAGTTGTGTCAACCGAATTTATAAAAGGAATTGACGGGGATACACTGTCACGTGCAATTGAGAACGTATCGGTTCATAGACTTCAGTGTATACGCTCCTGAGAAGAGAAGTTGCACAGCGAAGCGCAGACGTTACTCGAACTTTTCAGCTATAATAACCGCTAGCGGCCGATCACGTATGTGACATGGCGTCCGGGTAGAAAGAAAGTTGACTGTTAAATAAGCGTTAATGTTGTTTTTATGACATTGACCGACCGAAAAGGGAACATCCGAGGCCGCGAATTTCCCACAGACACCGGCATTGATGGTAATGCATGCGAGGAAACCACAAAGGATCAGCGATGGGTAGGGTACCGCCGTCAAATACCCAATCCTGACACAACCAACCTCTACTCACCTCACCTCTCATCTCCACAGTCCGTCCATCCGACCCACTCGACATCACTACTACCGCCATTCGCGGGAGTTTTTCCTCGATGGAAATTTCATTTTCCATCCTGGAATGCCCGCTATCTGATGATTTTATTCACCATTTATTTTTTATGATTTCAGGTACTTCGAAAAGCACCAGGCCCATCCCTATCAGGTAAATATCATTCGAGCAATTGGAATCAGGGGTTTCGGAGGGGGGTAATTCGTCTACAATGCGATTGCATGCACGATTTTACCGCGATTCTTTTCCGTCTTCGATTAGAAGAAACAAAATTCCTTTCTTCCGTTCGCGCTTTTTTTCTTGGATAATTGCGCGATCAACTGTGTCACAGTTCTTTCATGTTTCCTGCATTACGCTTTTTTTGTAGTTAATATATTTGCGATTGGTAAAAATTATTCATAAAGAATTCGTTATGGTCTTTGAACGCACGATATTTTCTTTTCTTTCAGTATTCCTTATGTTTCTCGTGTAATTTACCCGCCTATTTTGTTCATTCGTTATGGAACAAGTATCGCATAGCTTGTGTATGTGTTGGTGCTGTATACGTTATTATATACAGAGTATACATATATATTCTTGCATTAGATTTCCCATAATCGAGTGTCAAAGTATTTTCATTTGTGCAATCGTTTAATATAAAATACGAATTGTGACTTGTATATCGCGAATATCCTGAAAAAATATCGTTTTCTTTTCTATAAAAATTTGATAAACTTTATACGTTAATAATTAAATATTTCGTTGAAAATACGCAAGTCAATTTTATTCTTGTCTATTTTTTAATGGAGGAAACTAAAAGTCTTACGTTATATGTAAGAAAATCATTGAATTATTCAATTATATATTTTTGTTTAATCTATGTAACAAAATTCTTTTGTCTATAGAAAATTAATTTTCTTTGTCGTACTTTCCATATTATATTAAAAACGACAAGATAAATCGAATAAAACGTTTGGTATTTTCTTTAAAATACGTATAAAAACATTAACTGTGATATTGTCCTTGAGTATTCATTCAATTATTTATATTATCAAAATGTGCACTAGCTATGTGTAGTTTTTAAGGTATTGTTTATAATTTATATTCAATAGCGTGTGAATAACATGTAAATTGATATAAATTTCCTATTTTTTATGGAAGATTACAATTTTACTTGATCTTGTAAACATAACCTCACTTTCAGAAAATCAATAATTCATTCTTCTACATTATGCAGATTACTAATAGTATATGGGAAATGTTGCATGAATTCATTAATTAAAATATTCTTTGCAATAATACAATTATAAAAATTCTGTTTGATTAAGTACAATCAATAATTTAGTGATATTGTATCCTTAGTCCATTGAATTTCTTTTCATATAAGTTATAGAATTTGTATTAAATTATTCCTTAATATAAAACAAGGTATTGCTAAATATTTTGTTTATACAGTTTATTTAAGTAGTATAATAAACAGTTTTGTATATATATGTGTGTTATATATCTTTAACAAATATTTTTTATACTTGCTAAAAATAAAGAGAATAACAATAAGAAAAGTACATGAAAGTGTTAAGTATAGCTTTTTAATGACTTTTAGTTTTAATTTTCTTATATTCTCAATATGTAGGAGTTGATACAACATAAATTTGCACAAGTTGATATTTGTGAAAGTAATCTATGGAAGATAGCAATTCATGAAATGCAAAAAATGTTTGTTTCAATTATATTTAGTGTTATATTTTATATTTGCAGAACGCAAAATACAGCAGTTCTAAGGGTAGCTACTCCTCATCAACGACTTCATCAGACAGTCGTTACGAAGGACGTATGCGAGATTCTCCAAATGGCAACTCTTACAGTCCAGCAGCGGGCTTGGGTATGGGCATGGGAACAGACAGAGACAGTCCTCGCAGCTACACATCCAAGCCCCTATACAAGAAGGAGAGAGAAAATAGAGACTACAAGTTATCCTCCTCTAGGGACAAGTATTCAGGTAATTAACTTTCATATTTAAAAACATTTTTCAATATAATGTGGGGTCATATTTTAAAATGAGATTCAAAGTATACAAAATATTAAAGAGATACTAGAAAAATATAGTAATGAATTCATTAAATATTTGTACCATTAAAAATTTGGTAAATGAAATAAAAGAATTATCATACAGTCATTTTTGCTATAACCTGTTGATAACTTTTATAAAATGAAGATTATCTTACTGGAAAGAAACTAATTTTTCTTTAATATTGTAGAAACAAAATTATGTACAATTAAATGAAAATATATTTGTAAAATGTTATCATTAAGAACAGGCATCATTTTTTATGGAAGTAAAAGTAAGATTTTATGTTTCCAAAATTATGTATTTGTGTAACACATTCATTATTTGTAATTAATTATTACCATTGTAATTAATAACATTTATAAAATAATGTGTATGTGTGAAAGTAGTTAAAACTTAAATTAGCTTTGGTTTAATGTTATACCTTTACATACATCTTATTTTAATCACTTTTAAATGTCACTATTCTAAATATTATTGTAGTACATAAATATTCTCTTCATGTTGTATAATATATCATATACATCAAAATTCTATATTTGATATCACTTAGTGTCTAATTTACAAATTTTTTAACTTATTAAGATTTTAAAGTTGTGCATAAGTATATAAAAGAAATGAAGCAATAGATATAAAATTCCTATATGTATTGAAAACATGAATCATGTGGAAAATATTAAAATTTATAAGATTTAAAGACATGTGTATATACGAAAAAGAAATTAAGTTTA